CTGTTTGGAATTTTTTGTATATGTAGATTGGCACAGTGAGTGTGGATGAAATTCAGGTAGTTGTCGAGGTGGGGGTATAGCCAGGAATTTGTGATTATTCTTTGCAATTATTGTGGGTCAATCTTATTGTATTAAGTGTATGCGCACCTGCTCTGTACCAAGCAAAATAGTAGGTTTGTCTGTGTAAGTGAAGTTTATTGGGCTGTCAGCAAGTGATATTTTGAGCAGCTCCTCATTAACATAGTGTTGAGGTGGCAAGATTAGTGAGGATGACTTAAGTCTGATATCGTGCATAGGAATGGGTTTCAGGTGTTGGGATACACTTGGAAGCCTCATTATGTCATGGCAAGAGCAGGGCTGTCACAATGTACATTAACTGTGAACCCTCCTGTATCAATAGTGGTTTTGTCTGTGTTTAAGGTGAAATTATCTGTATCCATTAGAATAGTTTGAAAGCAGCAGCCTCTTATACCAATAGTGTTCAAGATTAGGGTGAGGATGACCGTGTCTTACAGTGGTTCATTAAGCTGGAAGATCATTGATGTAAATGAGGAAGAGCAGGGGGCCCAAGGACACTTCCCTGTGGAACTCCAGTATCAAGTGGCCGTGTTGATGATGCTGTGTCTTTAATGGTGACATACTGATACCTATTAGTAAGGTAGGATTTGAAATATGCAAGCACATGGCCTCTTATACCATAATGCTCAAGTTTGTGGAGTAGGATGCCGTGGTCTACTGTGTCAAAAGCTTTTCTTTGGTCAATAAAAATTCCTAGCAGATATTCCTTATTTTCCAGTGCTGTGTAAAGCAGATCTAGCGCTTTTACAATTGCATCATTAGTGCTTTTATTTTTCCTGAATCCAAATTGGCAGGGGTTGAGTATGTTTTGTGCCGTTATAAATGAATACGGTCTCCTGTGCACGGGTTTCTCGAAGATTTTGGATAGCAATGGTAAATAGCAATGGTAAGTTTGATATTGGCCTATAGTTGTTTACATCTGTAAGGTCACCACCTTTATGTATCGGTGTAACCCTTGCCGTCTTGAGTAGTTTCGGGAAGGTGCTAGTTTCTAGTGACTTATTAAAAAGTAATGTAACAGTGTGCGAAAGGACATTGGCCGCTCGCTTGTACAATAATGGTGGGACATGAGACAGGTTCCCTGAGTTATTTTTAAGTGACTTTATAATGTCAGTGGCTTCGGTGGGTACAGTTGGAACAAGATAGAAGGAATTTGGGAAATTCCCATCTAGATAGTCCCCGGCATGCGCGTTGGTATGTGTGATTTTATTGGCAAGATTAGATCCTATGGTTGAGAAGAAGTTGTTTATCTTGTTAGCTGTTTCAGTGGGATGCAGTGGTGTTTCATTAGGTTTAGTTAGGACAATATTCTTGGTTTTTTTTTAGTTTGTGGGTGCCCAGAATCTGATAGTGTTTTCCAGGTCTTTTTTATGTCTCCTCTTGTGTCAGTGAATCTGCTGGAGTAGTGCAGCTGTTTGGCTTTCTTTATTACTTTGGTGAGAACTGATGAGTAGTGTTTAAGAATATCTTTATGTATTAAGCCCTGTCTATATTGCTTTTCATATTGGTGTTTCTTATCAATGGATTTCAGAATGGTGCTGGTTAGCCATGGGCAACCGAGCCGTTTATTCGTGATCTGTTTCGTTTTTATAGGACAATGTTTGTTGTATAGTCTTAAGTAATTTGTTAAGAAAAATGTCTGTCCAATCGTCAGTACCATTGGCCTTGGAGAATTCTGTAGGCCAGTCAACAGTCTCTAGGTCTGCTGTGAACTTCCTTGTTGAGGCCTCATCATGGAATCTAAAATGAAACTTTGTTGTGTTCCAGTGGTGGTTTACTAATGTTTGTTAAGAGGAAGGCTGGAATATTTCTGCACACTAACAGCACCTTTCAAGGCAGGTGAAATTGCCGACCTAGAAAATGTACAGAGAACTTTCACGGCGCGCATAACGGAGATAAAACACCTCAATTACTGGGAGCGCTTGAGGTTTCTAAACCTGTATTCCCTGGAACGCAGGAGGGAGAGATACATGATTATATACACCTGGAAAATCCTAGAGGGACTAGTACCGAACTTGCACACGAAAATCACTCACTACGAAAGCAAAAGACTTGGCAGACGATGCACCATCCCCCCAATGAAAAGCAGGGATGTCACTAGCACGTTAAGAGACCATACAATAAGTGTCAGGGGCCTGAGACTGTTCAACTGCCTCCCAGCACACATAAGGGGGATTACCAACAGACCCCTGGCAGTCTTCAAGCTGGCACTGGACAAGCACCTAAAGTCAGTTCCTGATCAGCCAGGCTGTGGCTCGTACGTTGGTTTGCGTGCAGCCAGCAGCAACAGCCTGGTTGATCAGGCTCTAATCCACCAGGAGGCCTGGTCACAGACCGGGCCGCGGGGGCATTGACCCCCGGAACTCTCTCCAGGTAAACTCCAGGTAGTGGTCTGTAGGGGGGCTAGTATATTGGTCCATGTGTGGTCTATTATGGTTGCACTTGTCTCAGTGAACCTGGTTGGTTTAGTTATTGTTGGTATGAGAAGTGTGTTGCTCATATTGTTGATGAAATCAGTTACAGCCTGATCATCTAGTAGGCCAAGGTTGATATTGAAGTCTCCAGCTAAGAGAAGGTGGTGCTTGTTCATTTGTCTGTTAGTTATTAGTGTCTTTAATTTCTCATTGAAATTTGGGATGTTTGTGTGGGGTATCCGGTAAATGGCACCGATTGTTATAGGCGTCTTAAGGTTTTTTACAGTAAAATTATCAAAAATGCATTCTCCATATTCATCACTAAAGTAAGTGGTGCTAATACAAGATAATTGGTTAGAGTAATAGATTGCAATACCACCCCCAACTTGGTATGGTCTGCAGTTGTGGATTGCTGTGTATCCTGGTAAAGGGTAGATATCTATTGTGTCCTGCTTAAGCCAGGTCTCAGTAAGAATAATGCAGGAGAATAATGCGGCATTAAGTAATGGCAATTTCATCTAATGGCGCTTTTTGCCATTGAAAAAATGCCTTAACCAACGGCAAAAAACTTAACCAACGACATTTGTCCACCACTCCAAGAGTCAGTGTGCCATTGTTTACAAGCTGTTGAGGTCGGTTTCCACGTGTGCCTCCCATATATTTTGGATCATTCTACTATTTCTAGTGCTTGTAACTGCTAAATAAGCCACCATGGGTCCCAAGAAAGCTAGTGTCAAGCCTGCATTAAAAAGGGTGAGAATTATGATGGAAATGTACATGTACAATGACACACTTGTGTCTCATTTTAGGGAAATCCTAAGGGCATGTGAGAAACAGAGCTCTCTGGACAGCTGTTTTGTGTGACAGGGGTCAAGTGACTCTCAAGCTAGACCTAGTGGCATTAAAAAAACCAAGGAGGGAGGTAACCCCACCAAAGGACTTGGTACCTGAAGTCCTTCTGGAAGGGGATTCTCCTTTCAAGTAATAGACAATTCTGAATTTCCCCTGCTGCTGGCACATCACTCAACAACTCCACAATAAAGGTATGTGGCATTTAATTATTGTTTATTTTGCATGTCCCATTCCTTTCTATATAAGGAAATGTATATTTCATGTAAATTTTTTTTTTTTTTCAGACTTTGGGGTGTCAGGAACTGATTAATTCTATTTCCATTATTTCTTATGGGGAAAATTAACTCAACCAACGGCAATTTCAACCATCGGCAAGCCCTTTGGAATGGATTAATGCCGTTGGTTGAGAGTTCACTGTATGTGGGTAATTACCAGTGAGGTCTTATGGCTGAGTATTTGCTTTTTGGGACTTTGCTTGCTAGTTTTGATCCTATAGTAGAAAAGAAGACTTAAAGTTTGTTGGCAGTGTCTATAGGCTGTATGTGGGGTTAGTCTGGTTTTGCAAAGTTAATCTCTCTGTTTCTAGACAAGTTTTCTAGTGCCCAAAATTTTCATATCACCTTTTATTTCATTAAATCTGTTTTCATAATGCATTTGTTTGGACTTCCATATTAGATTAGTAAGTACTGAGGTGTATCATTTAGTTAGTTCTTTTGTTATTAAGCCCTGTCTGAATTGTTTTTCATGTATTATTATTATAATCAAAAAGAAGCGCTAAGCCACAAGGGCTATACAGCTGTTTTTCATGTAGATGTTTTTTTATCGATGGATTTAAGTATACTACTTGTAAGCCAGGGGCTGTTTAGTGTCTCTGCTGAGATCTGCTTCGTTTTCATTGGACAATGTCTATTATAGAGGTTGTGGGTTCTGTGTAGGAATATATGTATTTTGACACATCAAAATTGTGGTTGTCCACTAACTCACCCAGCCAGTCAGTATTATGTAAGGCAGTAATAAAATTATTTAGTGATGACTTGTCATGTATTCGAAAAGAGATCTTAGTTGTGTCCTGAAGCAATCTACTTAAGTTGGTTATGAGAAAAGATGGGTAATAGTCCATAGTGTTGTCTGTGATTATGCCTGCTTTTAGTTGGGGGGTATAGTATTGGTTCAGATATGATCAAGTAGTGAGGCACTTGTCTCTGTGATTCTTGTTGGTTTAGTCATAGATGGTAGTAGCAAGCAGCTGCTCATAGTGTTTGTGAAATCAGCTACTTGGGGGTCAGTTGTTTGAATGAGGTTTATATTAAAGTCACCAGCAAGCCTTTGCACCATTTTTAACATTTCTGGTGTATTTTTAAATGTTTATACAGTAGTGTACTGTATATTGTAATAAACAGAATAGAGGAAATCAGCTCTAATATACATTACTTAGGTATGCATACTGGTCAGAGAGCCTGTCGTTAGTCCGAGTCGTTGGTAAACGAGTATGTCGCTAAGTGAAGAGAGGCTATATTCACTAAATCTATTTTTTCATCTTAAAATTACCATAGCGGATGTACAGTAGAGGGGTTACATCTTTGATTTCCAAATACATTTTATTAAATTTATTATAGTTATTCTTTTATTTACTCTAATCCTTAATTTTTCTTATAGGTAGACATCAGTAAAAGAAGCCATTATGTACATGTGCTGGAACAAAGTGATCATTGTCTGTTGCCTGATGACAGCTGTACTGGGGGCTTTGCAAGAGACCCATCAGTATATAGGCAGTAATATTACAAATAGTTGCTCAGACATCATTTTCAAGGACGGGAATTGTACATCTGACCTTATATATGTGTTAATCAATAAGACGTCACCATGTATCTTTAACTGCACATACAATATTTTTCAGGTAAGCTAAATTATTTATTACTTTCATTTAGCAATGAAGTGTGTTAATAGTATGTAATTTTAGCTTTAGTTTTGGTTGATTGTCTGTTACAGTTGAAAACATAAAATCAGTAGGCCTGTTGACGTGTGCTAGGCAGGTCAAATTTACACTCACCCACACCCACTTATGTACCTGTCCATCTTATATTTAACCCTTTAACCCTTTGACACTTTTGGTCGTATATATACGTCTTACGAGGTACCGTGTTTGACAAACGTATATACTCATAAATTCTAGCAGCTTCAAATAAAGCAGGAGAAAGCTGGTAGGCCCACATGTGAGAGAACAGGTCTGTGTGGTCATTGTGCACCATATAAAAAAAATCCTGGAGCATGCAGTGCATAATGAGAAAAAAAAAAACGACCGTTTTTTTTTTTTATTAAAATGCTGTATTTGTGGTCTATTTTTGTATAGTATTTATGGTTGTATTCTCGTTTTCTTGGTCTCATTTGATAGAATGGCAAACATATTATTGAAATAGAGGTGATTTTGATTGGTTTTACTATAAAAAACACCTGTAAATGGAGCTCAAAGTAGGGAAAATGTTTGATTTTTGCCAATGTTCAAAAGTAAACAAATGATGTCATTGTCCAATAAATGTCCAACTAGCCATTCTAATATGCAGTCATGAATGGGTTGACATTATTTGTACAATTATTACAAAATTGCAGTAGTCTGCATAACAGTAAATCTTCTGTTTTTTGTTTGAATAAAAATTCTAAGTAGAAAGCAAGAGTAATATCAGAGGGGCCTGGAGATGTGACTGATGAACAAAGAAAATTTTATTTTAGAGCCAGGAATGTCTGCATTGTTCATTCTGGACCTTATTTTGAAATTGTCATATTTTTTAATTTTTGTGAAATTGGCCAAATTGCAAATTTCTGACCATGTTATTGGGTAGTTGAAATTGGTAAATGGGCAGTTTCTAGTACTCAGTTGATTGAAAAAGTGGAGTTCTAAAGAAGTAGCTATGAGTTTGGTCGACTGGAACAATGGAATTAGCCGAAAATAGGGCTCAAAGTGGGCGAAATTGCCGATTTGTAAAATCGCTGAAGTTGCTAACTTTGCGAGAGCGTAATTCCGTCAGTTTTTCATCAAATTTCGATTTTTTGGTGTCATTACAATCGGGAAAAGATTCTCTATCATTTCATAAGAAAAATTTTTTTTTTTTTTTTTTTTAAATTTTGTGACACGAGGAGACACTTCAGGATTGGGGGTTGCGACAGTCAAAGGGTTAACTCGTTAGTGTATGTTATTATGTCATTATTGAACTAATCCCTGTACTATCACCTCCTAGATAGTATTTACTACCTCATTATCCCAGGTGTCCCACACAGTTCTTTGTGTGACCCATTTTGTGTTATCTTTTCAGATTCCCATTTCACAATTTATTTTTTTGTTAATAGGATATTTACTCTTTAAAAATATCTGTATTACCTTTTTCTTTCCTACTTAAGCACTGTTAAAATTCTCTTATAATCATTCCTAATTTTCCCTTTTTTCCCAAACTACAAATAACAAACTAGTGTGCAATACCTTGAACCATCCCTCACTAGCTAGTTTCAACTACCTCAAATAATATTCCTATAGTGATATTAATTGCTCAAATTTTATGGTATTAGGCAATTCCTACTCTCAGATTATTTTCATATCTTAGTGACTATATTGTGTGTGCAATTAGTGTATATTTCAATTACATTATTGCTCAAGGCCCAAAACTATCTTTTCCTAGCTACTACCAACTACCTCATATTATTTTTTACTTTTTATAGTACAATAAATTGCTCAGCTTATTATATATAACAAATCAGATCTTACTCCCAAATCAACATCATATCTTAGTTACTATCTGCCAATTTAACTTTGTTTACCATTATTTAATTTAGTCCCTATATTTTTTCTCCTTTATTTTAGCTTTATTATAGCTTTACATAACAACCTTAGTTCATATATTCACAATTGTTAAAATAATCAAGGTGCTATTCTCAGGTGCTAAAGTGTAATAAGTTCACTATTTTGCCATTATATTCCCTAGCTCATTTATTTGATTACCACTTTATTTGTTCACCACAAAGTTTTTTTTTAGTCCCTTTTATATTGTCTCCTTAGCTCAAATTTTTTACATTTGTTAAAATAACTCAGGTGCTATTTTATAGCTTTAGAATATTTACTTTGTCTTATACAGGTGCGCCATCACAAATCCGGCAATCAGTTATTTGGTTCCTTCAGTTATTCGGCACTAATTTTGGCTAGCATAATTTAAAATTTCCAGGGTCGCCACACCAACCTGCTTGTACTGTTTATTTATTGTTTTAACCTGCTTACTTTTAGCCCTAGCCATGGTTCCAATGAATAAAAGAAATGCTTCTCATTATGTAAAGCGCCTACACAGTACATTATCCATTAAAGATAAGGTGGCTTTGAAGCCACTGTCGGTTGTCATGAACTCGGTCTCATGAAGCAGGAGAATATGCTTTATTATTACACTAATATCAACACTACAGCTTATTTGCCTATCACAATTGATCTAATATGACATAATAAACAATATAAATAACATAAAACATGTTAAATACTCCAGAATGAATAATATTTGGCATAATACCGAGCAGTTCGACAGAGTTACAAAGTGGATATGGTGAACAAATACCATTCTCCTATCCTTGTCTTAGGTGCTTATATTAGAGAAAACGGAGTATAGCACAGGGCTAACTATGATATACACTCGTACTCCACCATAAACATGAAACAAAAAAGTTATTTTCTATATATAGATTATCACACATAGCAGCATATGTGTAGAGAACCTAGGATAACCCCAAAAAAGTCAATGTGGCTTATTTTTAGTACCTGGCTTGGGTTAGCCATATATGATTTTTGGTAAATATTTGATTCCCAGCCAGGGTAGAAACATTAGGCGTGTTTCTTTACACCTGTTGTCTATGTTTACCCATCAGTAAATGGGTACTTGGGTGTTAGTTGACTAGTGTGGGTGTTATCCTGGGACATTGACCTAATTTTCTTGAAATACTCAGCATGACAAGTGTCTTTCTATACAGTAGTATGTCACTGATGTCAGCTAGGCCTGTATACCTTGTACATGTACGTGTAGCAAATAAAGATACAGTGGTCCCTCAATTATCGTCCTTAATCCGTTCCTGGAAGTGGGACTATTATCGAAATAGACGATTTTCGAATCAATTTTCCCCATAAGAAATAATGTAAATCCAATTAATTCGTTCCAGACACCCAGAAGTATCAAGAACAATTTTTTTTTTACCTAAAAGATAGATTTACATGCACAAAAGAATGAACATTCAACATGACAGTTACCTTTAATGAAGGCTGTTGTTGATGAATGGAAGACAGTGAGGAGAGAGGGAAGAGAGGTTATTGTTTGGAAGGGGAATCCCCCCTCCGTAAGGACTCTAGGTCACTTCAGGGGTCACTTCCCTAGCTTAAATATAGATTTACATGCAGAAAAAATGCCAAATAAATGTAAAACACTAATAAAATGTATAAATGAACATTGGTAATAGGGGTAGTTGATGAGTGGAACGGTCTGCCTAGTAGGGTGATTCAAGCTAAAACATTGGGTAGTTTCAAATTTAGGTTGGATAAGCTATGGCAGGAAAAGAGGGACTACAAATGTATAAATTCAAGGATTATGTGGAGTAAAATAAAGATTGGATGTGAAAAGTGGGTTATAGTAAGCATGTATGCACCTGGAGAAGAGAGAAGTGTAGAGGAGAGAGAGAGATTTTGGGAAATGTTTTGAGTGAATGTGTGGGGAGTTTTGAATCAAGTGTGAGAGTAATGGTGGTTGGGGATTTCAATGCTAAAGTGGGTAAAAATGTTGTGGAGGGAGTAGTAGGTAAATTTGGGGTGCCAGGGGTAAATGTAAATGGGGAGCCTTTAATTGAGCTATGTGTAGAAAGAGATTTGGTAATAAGTAATACATATTTTATGAAAAAGAGGATAAATATACAAGGTATGATGTAGCACGTAATGAAAGTAGTTTGTTAGATTATGTATTGGTGGATAAAAGGTTGATGGGTAGGCTCCAGGATGTACATGTTTATAGAGGGGCAACTGAAATATCGGATCATTATTTAGTTATAGCTACAGTTTAAGTAAGAGGTAGATGGGAAAAGAGGAAGGTGGCAACAACAAGTAAGAGGGAGGTGAAAGTGTATAAACTAAAGGAGGAGGAAGTAAGGGTGAGATATAAGCGACTATTGGCAGAAAGGTGGGCTAGTGCAAAGATGAGTAGTGGGGGGGTTGAAGAGGGTTGGAATAGTTTTAAAAATGCAGTATTAGAATGTGGGGCAGAAGTTTGTGGTTATAGGAGGGTGGGGGCAGGAGGAAAGAGGAGTGATTGGTGGAATGATGGAGTAAGGGGTGTGATAAAAGAGAAAAAGGTAGCTTATGAGAGGTTTTTACAAAGCAGAAGTGTTATAAGAAGAGCAGAGTATTATGGAGAGTAAAAGAAAGGTGAAGAGAGTGGTGAGAGAGTGCAAAAGGAGAGCAGATGATAGAGTGGGAGAGGCACTGTCATGAAATTTTAATGAAAATAAGAAAAAATTTGGAGTGAGTTAAACAAGTTAAGAAAGCCTAGGGAAAGTATGGATTTGTCAGTTAAAAACAGAGTAGGGGAGTTAGTAGATGGGGAGAGGGAGGTATTAGGTAGATGGCGAGAATATTTTAAGGAACTTTTAAATGTTGAGGAAGAAAGGGAGGCGGTAATTTCATGCACTGGCCAGGGAGGTATACCATCTTTTAGGAGTGAAGAAGAGCAGAATGTAAGTGTGGGGGAGGTACGTGAGGCATTACGTAGAATGAAAGGGGGTAAAGCAGCTGGAACTGATGGGATCATGACAGAAATGTTAAAAGCAGGGGGAGATATAATGTTGGAGTGATTGGTATTTTTTTTTAATAAATGTATGAAAGAGGGGAAGGTA